TTTTAATGCCTGTTAAAAATTAATCTGGCATGAAAAAAATTACAAGTCACAAGATGCCACAGAAAACATGAATATTTAAACTTAATAAAACCACAGTTCCCTAAACCATTTTCTTCATTTGAGGCATCAGATCTTCAACATACATTTCAGTGAATCCTCTTTATTTAATTTAACAAAGCACTTGAAAGCTCCTATCAATAGCAAGGCTTCACTCAAGCATGTACTGTATCACAGAAGGATCCACTTCTTCAGCCATCAGACTGGCTTGCAGACTTTGGATTGTTGCTTTTTTCCCCAAATGCTGTCTCCAAAGGACAAAGGCAGCTACGATCTGTGACTGCAGGTTGTGAGGGTGATTGACTTTACATCGATAGATGTCAGTATGGGACAAACCCAAGCCCAGAACTATATGCTCCCATTCAGGTCCCAGTCTCCTCGCAAGCTTGTTCAGCTGCTGATCTGTTGGTGAAGCCTTCAAAATACACGGTGCAATTTCAGTTACATCTGTAAAAAAGGAAAAAGAAAATGCATACACATCACTAGGCAAACATTAAGACCTTGACAAAGTGTTAATGAATAAGTGAAGCTGAGGTGAAAGAATTACTTAATTAAAGAAGTATATATATGCACCCAGAAAAATTAATTGCATAATCAACCTGAAGAATAATTAGAGGAAAACTGATGCTCAGTGGACAATATTTTGGGTGCCCTGAGGTTTTGGGTGTCAATAAATCAGATATCAGAATTCTACTCCAAAGCCAAGACTTCCAAGAGAAATTACAGATTTTGCAACAGTGAGCAGGAAAGGTTTTCAAGGAACATGTTTCCAGCAGCCACTCAGTCTGCTTGCACCAGTGTGATACAGTGACAAATGACAAATATGGGACCAATTACTTAAAACCCTTATTACCCCTATTCTGTAACTGTTTATATATTCATAAATAACTCTGATTCCTTAGTTACTAGGTGTTACTCATTTTTTTTGCTGAGAGCTGTTCACAGGAAATTCTTCTGTCTCCAGAGATGCTACTCAGATTTTGTGCCTTGTCATATGTGGCAACTCATTTTGAGAGGATGAGTTTTGGGGGCTTTTCTTCTATTTGAATGAAACTATAAGCATGTTTCAGGTGAACACAAATGAATGGGGCATCAACACTGTTCCCCAGTGCAAATTATGCTTCCTTATCCTTCATCCCTGTTGTAGTAACACTCCTGAAAAAAGGCATGTGTGTGCTACAGCCCCATTCATCTGGCCTCCTGGAAGGTGTTTCCAGGACAGTGCAAGGAAGCCTCATCCTCTCTCAGACTTCTCTGAGATTTCTGCCCTATGTCCCCTAACTGAAGTACCCAACGTGCCCCACAACACACTCCTCATCCAAGAAGATGTTTAGCATCAAACTGGTACTGAGTCATGGAGGACAGGATAAATACAACTACCAAACCAGCTTTCACAGGAAGCATTAAGGGAGCTGGGATTACCAGTGGCAGAAATCATTTAGGGACTGAACCAAGTATTTCTTACAAATGCAGATGATCTCTTTGTGTATTCATATGGTAATCTGATCATTAAAAAAGAAAGCACTAATACAAACTGTGTTAATAGCAGAGTGAGAACGCAGTGCTATTCAGAAACATGCTGTATGGGATCTGTCTCACCTATCTACAGATACCCCGAACTGAACTCATTATACTGACACTAATTATCACTAAGGAGAGAAACAGGCTCTTCTAGAATACAATCCATCTCACTGGAAAGAAGATGCCTAAAATAATCAGATTAATCACTTCTCTAAACATGCACATTTCTCTCCATTGACTGTAAAGGGGCACGAGGTATAAGCTCGGATGACGTCGATGCTGTAAACATCCAGTGCTGGTGAAACGATTCTCTGCCTGTAAATTCAAACCACATACCAGTTGCTTTAACAAAGTTGCATTTTTAAAAGCAGCGTAAGATATCTGTAAAGCATACTTGCTCTTGGATGCTCTATGCAATCACAAGCTGAAATGAAGGGTCAGTGCAGCCTGCAACTGCTGCTCTACTTTTGTTGCTAAAGAAACTGCGTCAAAACAGAGCAAAAATATCCCCAAGAAAATGCTAATTATAGCCTGTCAGTCTGAAGCAGCAGACTCCCTACAGAAAAGCTGTTTTGCAAAATCTAGTTTATAGCTCCAATATCATGCTCATAGTCTCCACTACAGCAGAAGAGCAACATCAGAACATTCCTCTCGTTCAATATCAAAAGTAATTGTTTTTGCACAGAATACCCAGAGCCTGCAAACGTTTGCACATTTTAAGCCTAACCATACGTAAGTACTATACAGAGCTGCTTTGAGTAAAGGGAAAATGGCTTTCTGAAGAGTATTTTAGTCCCTTTGATCTTTCTGTCTGCAGATTGTCAAAAGAACTCAGGGCAAGTGGCTGTTTCAAGAACAAGGTAGAGGATGCACAGCTCCTGAAGAAGGCTGAGCAATACTGGTGGGGCTGCCCTACACCAACACATCACACATGATTCCAGCTCCATAGATAAGGCAGGACAAGGCAGCGCCTTTCATGAATGCAAGTATTTGAGAATAATTAAAAGTTAAAATAAACATAGCTACACCGTGCTGTCACCAACACTACTACTTTTTTTTGGTATTAAACCCTCACACTGGCTTATGGTCAGGCCCTAAGCATGAAGTAGTGTACCCAAAGGAGCGCGACCTACCAGCCTGGACTTTTTACTCTCACACTGGAATTTTTATACTTCATGTTCACTAGCAGAACAATTTTATGATATTGAAATGTGATCAAGCAGGGAGGCCTAAGAACAATACATGTCAGCTTGTCCATCCAGCTTTTGATATTAGGTATATTTTATTACAACAAGTATCTTGCCTTTAGCCTGTTATCAGCCCTTTAACAAAATAAATAAGAATAAAACCCATCCAGGAATCTTTTTCATCTTATGCTACCATCCGAGTCTAATACAGATGTGGAAAATTCTGGGACAGAAGCCAAATGTTACATTTAATACAAAGGACTTACTTTAGTCCCATTTTATTTTCTGTGGTAGCTCTTTTTCAGCTCTGATATACAGTCACTGAGGAAAATCTGAGACAAGTATTACATAACAGGCAATATTATTTAGACGTATAGAGAAGTATTTAAGTGAGATCTTTTAGTTATGACAAATGCAAAAAGATTTGGATATGTTCTAGGATTAATGTCACTCTTAATTTAATAAACATAATGGTATTTCAGGCAAAAGGGAAAGGAGTTTTCTGTGCTCAGCACCCAAGCTGCTTTGAACACTGCAAAAACACTAAAGGTGTTTTTTAAAAAATTATGTTACTACAGACCCTCACTTATAATCTCCATTTGTCAGGAATGAGATTAGAGCAAAAGTTTCAATTTTGCAGATCCTGCATGTGCATTTGAAAGGTACATTTAGGCTACCGAGACCTCAATTTTGCAAAAAGGTGTGAAGCTCTTCTTGCTTTAGATGGATCTGATGGGGAGGTGTACACGCTTACATTAGATATATGCTTCAGTTAGTTAGCCAGATGAGGACTGCACTGCTAGAATCAGGAAGGAGTAAGGCTTTGGGCACCAAGGGGAGGGTGTTGAGAGTGGAGAAGGTGATCTGCAGTGCCATCACCTCCAGCAAGCACACAGAGTGAAATGCTGTGTCCAGCTGCGGACACGGTCTATGCCATAAAGGGCCATGTGCTAAGGAGATTTAGAGGCTGAAGTCTCGCTGCTCACACTGAAGCCACTAAGTCCTTGAGGAACGGGGAGCATTTGTGCTGAGGAGTGAGCCAGCCTGGTGCAGAGCTGCTCTCCTGGGACTGCTGGCCAGATTGCTGGCATAGTGCTTGGGACCATGAAAAACCCCTTTCTCTGGGCTGGATGTGGGGAGGATGCTCTCCAACATGGTTTTGGAGCTGGAAGTGGCCCAGAGAAAGAAGACCTGCAGCTCCTTTTATTTGAAACTGCAGCATGAGGAAACATACTTCTCCCTGTCTCCAGCCCTCACTGGTCAAGGAAGCTCATCCACTCTAAGACCTTCTCCTAGCTGTCCCAGTTAAACAACACAGGAGACGTTGACAACTTTTGGCCTGTGTTCTTCTGTGCTTCCAGACCACTGCACAGACTGGGAGAGTCTGGTGAGTGTGGACAGGGAACAGAACTGCACATAAATAGTATCACGAATATGTACCAGACAAAACAACGTAACCCAGATACCAAATCTGTATAAAGGGCAAAGGCAGCTGGCCACAACTTTTTCCTCAGGTCCTTTTTCTTCAGGACCTCTCCAGCTTTAAGTAGTAGACCCCAACAAGATGTTGCAACAATCAGGGGGATGGAAAATAAACTCACCCCAGCTCTACGCCGCTTGGTACAACTACAAAGATAAAGTCCAGAGAAAACGGGCTTTGAATCGTTTAAACTTTTTTTTTTTTTCTTTTGTTTTCTCATCACCATCCTTAGGTGACAAAAAAGCTGAGATCATCTCCTAGGCTATCTTGCACCATGGGAAAACCTTTACCAGCATCAAGGAACTGACCTCCTCCCCTCCATGCTGCTGGAATGCAGTCAGGAGCACACGAGCTTGGCTCCAGCACTGGACACAGCAGCAAAAAATGCTGAAGTATCTTTGAGCGATCCACAAGGTATTCAGCTGATTCCTTAGAACTGCCAGCAGCCCAAAGTACCTTATAGTTTGTCTAAAGGACCCTTCTCCATGAAAGTATGACTTCTCTGTGCATAACCAAAAGCACCTGTTGGAGTTCTAGGGAGTCTTCTCCCTTATGCAGTCAACATGCTTTTACATGATGCAATACAAAATCAACTTATTGGGTTTTGCACTTTGCTGTATAAAAGGAACTTTGATGGAAATGAAGTACCTGAATTAAAAATCCTGAAAATGTCTCGATCAGCTGCTGCCTAATCCTGCAAGGACAATTCCACAGGCAGTTCAGGAGACAGTTGGGGAACTAGGGACACAATGGCCCACCTCTTATATAATTGTACCAGATAAATCTGTCCCTTGGGAAAGTTTGTTCTGGGAAAGAACATTCTGGGGACTGGTCTCTGCTTCCAGCTCTGCCTCTGTATTTTATCCATTTAAATGACCACAAACATACTCATTAGATAAGAAGACAGAAGCAGCCGTGGAACAGACAGGAGATGGGAATCCACGTGCACATCCTAATACTGAGCTGCATAGTCATGCTCCTCTTCATTTTCTTTCTCCTGATAAACCATTCCAGCAAAAATTAAAAATATTTCTCTGGGAAGGGTCAAGAATGCTTCCCAGCCTTGAATGGAACCCCCTGGAGAGAAAACTCTCCTGGGAATCAAGTGGTATGCTGAAACAGAGCAAAACTGTGTGCCAGTTCTTCACAGAAACAATGCTAGGAAAATGCTCTAATTTTTATATAATCACATTAGAACCAGGTAGGTGGCTCTGGGCATCAGACCCTGCATAACTGGAATGGGACTGTAAAAAAGAGTA